TGAGTGAGTGAGAGAGAGAGAGAGAGAGAGAGAGAGAGAGAGAGAGAGAGAGAGAGAGAGAGAGAGAGAGAGAGAGAGAGAGAGAGAGAGAGAGAGAGAGAGAGAGAGAGAGAGAAAGTAGCAAGAAAAATAAACAAATGAATTAATAGAGAGAGCGCGAAGAAGACAGGAAAAGGGTGAAACAATAGAGAAAAGAAGACAATGGACATACAGCAAGATAAAGCGGGAATACAGATCTACTCTTTGTCAGCCTATATCTGCTATATTAGATTCAATAGAGTGCCAGTAATGTTTTGTAAGTACGCCTCGCAACTAATTTCTTTTTATACTTTACTACATTTATCTCTATTCCTTAATATACGAGATAAAAAATAATATGCATGATTCACATCCACCAACAGGTCATATTCCCGATCGTTCACATCCACTTAACGTCCCGCCAGGGAAACTCCGCAAACAGTGTTGCCATTCTAGCGATTTTCCCGCTAGTATTATAGTTTTTGAATTATGATCTACCAGGATTTTTTAATAGTTTACCCTATACTTAGAGATTTAGCAGTTTTGTTTAAATATCAATGGCAACATTGTCTGCAAAACGTAGTTGTGTCGCACAGAATATATACTTTTAAGGTTATAACGGCGCGTATTTCCCTTTCAAAAGATACAAGTAGGATGCATAAGCAACATCTTAAGTAAAGTACTATGGAAGATATTATTATCTGTAGGAACGTAAATAATATTTTTCTTTACTTAATGCAAATAAGCTTTTTTCTCTTTTTAATATACCCGTTCCACTTATACACTGCCATTGACCTTCCCACAACTTTGATGGGTTCGAACTCCGAGAGAAAGCGTTCGAATCGCATCCTCGCACTTCAAACGGGAGCGCGAAACGAATCTAAGAAAATCTCCGGCGCGCGCTTCTCAGCCCTTATACTCTCTTACGAATTGGGAGAAACGTCACAAAGAAAAGATTATGTAGAGAGCGTTTCTGGTCGCAGCCTCGCTTTTCGACGACGACTTGGAAAGGAGGGGCGGCATCTTACGCGACACGCCTGCCTGGAGATCCTGTTACCGACATCAAAGGTCTTGAAGGTGCTGGTGGGAGGGGGGGAGAGGGGGCTGGAAGGACCAGGAGGGGGTTGAGGAAGGGGACTAGGAGGGGCCTGGAGGGCTGGAGGGGGTTGAGGACGGGGACAGGAGGAGGTTAAGGATGGGAACCAGGAGGGGGGTTGA